CCTCACTGCACAGGCTGCTCCAGCAGCATGCAGACCCCCATGCTCAGCCATGCAGGCTACATTAGCAGGACATGGACCACTCCTCCCTCCCCACACCCCCCCGCCTTTCCCCCTTGCACAGCAGTGGGAGAGGTGGCTGCCCAGGCCCATGCCCTATATATTAACTGCCTGCAGACCCCATGTAAACTGTGCGCGAAATCCTGGCCCTTTGTGGGCCACGTGTGGCCTGCAGGTATTCAGCAGGGCAGCTCTAATCTTGTCCAACCTCCTGCACAGAAAAATGATGTCCTGTTCCTAAGCCATACCAAACATACATACTTTCTGAAAACTACAACTTCCCTAGGCACATTTCCAGACCCATTTCATTGTCACTTCCTGCAACTTCATTGGTGTCAAAGGTCACATGACATCACTTCCTGATGTGATACCACTTCCTGTGAGGTCTTTGAATATGGCTTGCCCGCCCACTGGGTGATAAAAAGTTAGTGATCCAGCCCCACATTCAAAAAGGTTGGACGCCCGTGACTTAGAAGAAAACGGCATGGACAGATCTATTGAATGCTGTTTCAAGCTATCACATCCAGCCAAGATCCTTTTTGTGGGAAAATCATGATCTGGATTTGTTGTCAAGTTATGTACAGGGTTATGGATACAACTAGTACTTGAAAGAACAATGAAGAAATTAATCATTTCCATGGGACATTTATATCTTCTCCCGTGATATGTCTTGTTAGCATTATTGTGACAAAGATAAGTGTGAGACAAAACCAGTTACAAATGTATTCATACTCCCAAAGGGGCATAATAAATACTAGTTTAATATAAGTCACTGAGGGGGTTTTATCCATTGTATGAGAAAAACAGGCTTCAACAAATATCATTTTACCAGCTCCACATTTTGATCATGCCTCCTCTGCACTTTCCCCCTTTCTAGTACATCCAACCTATGATAACTGTCTTAATTTTCAATGCCCTTCACAACCTAGCTCCCCTCCCCTCCTATCATCTTTCTAGCCACATTTAGGTTGACAGTAGCCTCCAATCAGACCATGATCTCAGCCTCTATTACCTACTTGTTGAATTTTCAAATAAGAACTTTGCTTTCTTACATATTGCTCTTCACCCTTGGGTAGAGTTCCCTTATACTTTTCACAAGGAAACCACATCATCCTTCCTCAAATCCCTCCTTAAAACTCCTTTGATATGATGCCTACAACATTTGGCAGCGTTTTTGCTGCAGATGTTCTGAGACCACTGCCTGATGACTAATATTGTCTCACTGTTTCCTTGTCCTCCTGTATCTGTCTGTATCCATCTGCTGCCTGTTATTTTAGACTTAGATTTTATGTTCTTAGGGGAAGAGACAATCTTTTTGTATTATGTTGACTATAACATTTGAAGTCCTTGTCCCTGACAAGGGGCTTGTTTGTAGATGCTACAGAAATACAAAAAAGTAATTATGATGATTTATTGGGGGATATTTCAGCAAGAAGAAAATAATTTCCCCATTTTCTAAGACTTATCTCCCTCCCCCACTTCACCAGCATTCCAAGAATAGCATAACAAAAAGCCTCATCATATATTATGTGAGGGGCCTCAGGAAACATTGGAATAATTATAGATAATGACTGGCTGGTGCAGAACGTAATCTATCACAAGATTTTCCAAAGCTGAGCAGGTTTTAAGAACTGTTGGCATAAAGAACTTCTGCAAATTGTCACTTTATTTAGGTGCCCATCTGGGAGCTGGTTCTTTTGAAAATCTGCACTTTTATATCCAAACCAGCAAAGACAAAACTTGTCCCCAACACGTTTCTTCCTCAGTAGCTGTCATGGGGAGGAATTTCATGTCATTAAGGATAAATGCTGTTGAAAGCACCCTAAAATAACCTTACCTGGACAGTTCTGCATGGTAGGGCTAGTACTTATACTTACAATTCCATGCTTCTGTAACAGGTCAATATCCTGAAAAAAGGATTCCTAAAGCAGGCAGAGAGGGGGGGAAAGCAGAATCTTAAGATAGAATTCTTGTAACCACCTCTATATTACTTTTGTTAACTGCCTAATTCAGTAGTAAGTGTCAATTTTAAATCCTTGGCAAAGTGTGAGCCAAGAAGTTTTAGGCATGTCCTATTGCCTGTGTAGAGCAGTGGTCTCCAAACTTTTTTGATCATGCACCCCTATCAGTAAAAAAATTTTGAGCACGCACCCCCAATATCTGTATATTTCTATAAATATAAATAGAAGTTCTAATATTTTCTTCCTGCACCCCAATGGATTGTCTTGCGCACCCCTGGGGTGCGTGCACCCCACTTTGGATTCCACTGGTGTAGAGAATCGAGATACAGTAACAGAGGGTGTTTATAGACATGCTGAGGGTTCAGGGGTGTGCTTTAATTAGAGTAGCTCCAAGGGCACCTATACACATGCAGAGAGGCTGCCCCAATGCGCTGTAAAATGGCAGCGGGGGGCACTTTTAATTAAAGCTTGTTCAACGAGCTTTAGTTAAAGCGCCCCTGCCACCATTTTTCAGCACAGGGATGCTGATACATGTGACGCTGGATTCTGCTGAAGCTCAGTAATTACCACGCTCCTGCAGACTCAATTAAACTAGTCTGCCCTGACATGCTGTAATTACAGCGCATTGGAGCAGCCTCTCTGCATGTGTATAGTTGCCCAGAGTTGTTATGGTGTTTTGCTACAGATCCGGAGGCATGGAACTTGAACCTTGCTTCAGATGTATACTGAAGTTTACCTCCAGCTGTACATGACTAGTATACATGGATCTTTGGGATAGAGTTAAAGGCAGACACATGTGATTTTAGCTAAATCACTTCTTCCTTGTGTGCCTTAATCTCACAGGCTTGATGGGGTGCGAGATTCAGGTTTGACTTCTTCATACTGTGTAACCAGCTAGATCAATGATTCTCAATCAGGGTTTTATAAAATCCTTTCAAGTGTGCCATGGAATGCCGCTTAATTATTAGCACTATTAGGTATGGAAACACTGACATATGATCCACAAGATAAGCCCAGAGATTTCAAATAAGAATCCATAGTGTCAAAAACATACTGAAACATTCATAACGTTTGAGTTCTTTGCAACAAAAGAATTGCTCTCTTATTTTTCTGTAATCAAAAAATGAGTGAAAGCTAGAAGCTTGCATTTTCTGAGGCGTGCCTTCAGTCTAACAGGTGGGCCTTTAAATCTAAAATAGGGTGAGAACCATTGATCTAGATAAAAAAAAACCCTGAATCATGCTCAGGAACCCTACTAAGAAAACCTGTACTGTGTTTCTCTTCTCTACTATGTTTCAGGTTGATGACCTTTTAATGTAAGATAAAAGGTTTCAAAATCCTCTTATATTTACTATAAAATAGCAAACAGTGTATCAATTATAATAATGACCAGCCTATATAATTAATATCTGTATGTGCTTCAAGAGGTTAATGGAAAATAAGGACCAAGATAAGGATAAGATAGATAAGAAAGTAAGGAAACGAGATTTCCTTTGCTTTCAATTGTAATAAGTTTTTCAATGCCAACTACATGTCTTTGGTGATTGCTCCCCTGCACCAAGAATATTCTGCTGAACTACATAACATTATGTGTGATGCCCTTTGCCAGCATTTGTTATGTTATACATATTTTATGCTATTTATAAATACCTCATCATCCTGGTATCCTGGTTCTTCCTGTACCACCTGATCTTCCATGGCTTTCATAGTGAAAATGCAAGCAATAAGGCTTAGGCAGTACTGAAAAAAGCAAACAAATACAGTATTATGGTGGAAACATGTAAAGTGATTATTTATTTATCAATATATTTTATTTATAAGCTGTCCTCCCCAAAAAGGCTGAGTAGCTTACAGTAAAAACAAGGTAAATGATAAAAGCAAATTAAATATTAAGATAAACTAGTAAGTAATAAAACAACTCTCTAAACAATGCCCAGAACTGTACCCCAAAACTTAACCTGGTAAGAGTCTGCCAAAAGAAGGTTTTATGGATTATGTGGTTATACTTTAAAAATATATCCTTTCCTAGCAATGCAGCTTCTCAATGTATTATCACCAAAGGATCTAAATTCAGATTCTAAGATTGGTCCTTCATTGCCTGAACTAATTAGTGGTGGATGTGCTGCAGCAGTAGTACTTGGCACCCAAATAAATGAGGGTGCCTGTTGTGTTATTCTGAGATGACCCGCTCTTGCCAAAATGTTTTTTAGCAGGTTCCAAATGGACCTCATCCCTTGCAAGGCACATAGATCCAGATTTGAGTTTGGCCTGGGAAAAACTTAAATTATAAATTGAATTTGTTCTGATAGAAATGTAAAAGTGAATCATTAGTGTAAGGTGTTATCTTCTATTAGCAATCCAATTCTCTGTCAGTAAAAAGTATGAATATTTTAGGCTATTTACATTTTTACATAAAGACTATGTCTATTGTGTGTGGATCTCATGACTTTAGCCATAAGATTGATATTCACTTATAACCTATTCTTCATGTTTCTGGAAGAAGTTCTCCTTGCTACCAACCTAGCAGATTTGGAAAAAGTAAAATCAGTAACAGGACTTTCCAGATCAACCTAAAGAGACTTTAACAATCTTGTCATGCCAGATATTGGAAGAATACCCCCAAAAAAGGTACGAAAGATTAGGGATGTTACAACCTCCTTCCCCACTTTTTTTTAATAATTAATTTCTTCTCTGTCCTGAAATGCATATGATTCTGCATTTGTTGCATTACCAAAAAGTTCAAAGACTCCCTTTTGGCCACATGTTATTCTATAGAGAAGAAAAAGCCGGTAGAGCAAGAGCTATGCTTTTGCTCCAGTGGGAGATGGGTACTATTCTACACCCTTCAAAATCATATAGCAGCGTTCATATTCCCCCTTTCCACTAAGGAGCCTTCCACTGCTCCTAGTGAGGCAACATAAATCTGCACCACACCATACTAGTTATCCCTAAAATCGCACAGACCAACTCCCCACATTAGACACAAAATGCATCCTGCTAACTAATTTATTTTAAAGTGTGTATCTTTTCTAAAATGTGCATGATATGGGTTATTGTTTGCTTGGTAAACTGAGATCAGGAGAGTTCCAGGATTAGGGAGCAAAACAGAAATAAACAGAGAGGAAGGTGGGAGCAGACAAAAGCCTGAGACAGCACATAGGTAAGTGCACAGGTGGGTAGTTTTGAGAAGGAAGAAACAGGAATGCATGGGTATTACCACTGCTGATTGCCCCACACTTCACAGGATGTCTTCAGTATATTTATGTATGTCTTTATTTGATTTATGTGCCACCCTTCCCAACAAAGGCTCACAGTGACTTATAATAAGAGATCAGAATAACTTAAAAACAAGCACAATTAAGGTAATACCAATTTAAAAGGGAATTATAACAACAGAACTCCCCCCAACAACCTCTTGTCCTAGTGTTGTTTGGTGAATGCATGCCCAAAGAGAAATGAAGGGGCACATCCCGTATTGCCCAGTTAGATGCAGGAAAGTATGGCATTATTTACATATTGGTGTGTGAGAGAGACTGGCTTAAATACATAAATTGTGCTTGATGCCACAACTGTGATTAAAGCAGATAGAAATGTTGCAGCTCTTTTTCTGGCAGCAGGGTCAGGCCCCTAGGGACCTCCCTCCTCTGGGCTGCCTTGGGATTTATGGTGATTGATTCACAGAGGAATGGAGGATGATGAATCTTTCCTTGGGCAGGGCAGCTTGCTTGGCTCTTAATTTTTCAGAAGGAAGGGTAGATATGCACCCTTGTAGACATCCTTAACTAAGATATATAGAGCACACACTTTGGCAAACCCACATTACCCTTCACTTGGGTGCTATGAACATCTCATAAGGGAACATTTGGTTCACCAAAGCTTGTGCTCTGGAGATACCTCTTACCGAGTTAGTCTGTAGGTAGATGTACACACCTACACTGCCTGCTGACTGACTGCAGCCTAACACGCTGAAATACCTCCCTCTTGTTTTCCAGTCACGCCGCCAGGGGCTGTCATTGACTTCCGTGTCCACAAGCCCCAATTCCCGTTTAAAACAAAGCACATCAGTGACCGGCGCCTGCTCTACAACCCCAACGTGCCATATGGCACTTGCCTCTTGCTTCCCTCAGCCAGGGACGCCACCCTTCAAAGCCCAGCCCCAGGTCACGTGCCTCTGAGCCCAGCCCCTCCCTGACCGTTGATTCGTTTTATTTCAACTGCGAGGACAAACTGATTTTCCCACCAAGAAAAAAACCCGCGAAAAATCGCCTGGGCCGCGATTAACTGCCACTGCCCCGCGCCTCCCGCCCTCGAGTCAAGGGGCGGAGCCACAACGCAGCGCAGGCTCTGCCCAGCCGTCTGCGCGCGCAGCGCGCCGCTGCCTCCGCCCCCACTAGTGTCAGGGAGTGGCCGCTGGTTTTTTCGCGCGTGGCGCCCTTCGTGCTGGAGCCTCTCTTGCGTCCTATGAAGGGGCGTGGCTGGCTCCTGCTGAGGGGGGAGGGTTGTCGTCCCTCCCACACCCTATGCGTGTGTAGATGAACCCTGTCAGACGCGTTGCTTCAGAGAGTGAAACAGACAGTCCGTAGTCAAAACTGCAGGGACCTCACCATTGAAAAACCCCATCTGATCTTTGCATTTCCAAGAACGGCCAAGGCATGGCAGGGGGGAACCTTAGAGCAGTGATTCTCAGCCCCAGGGCACCCCGGGGTGCCTGGAAGTCCTTGCAAGGGCACTGCAAGTGTTGCACTGTGTTAGCGTTGTTAGGTGTGCACACACACCTGATTACAAAATAAGCCCAGAGATTTCAAAAAGGAATCCAGTGTTAAAAGCAGTCCGACCCCTTATGATCTTCCTGAGGTCTTTGCAGCAGCAGATTTGCTCTTTTTTTTCTGTCATCAAAAAATGAGCGAAAACTAAGAGCGGGAGGAATGCCTTGAGTATAACAAGGGGTGCCTTGAGCCCGTAAAGGTTGAAAACTACTGCCTTAAGGGTGTGTGTAGATGAAAAGGGGGCCCTAAATTGAAGCAATGAGTTTTTTCAAACACTGCTGCAGTTTAGGGCCCTTTAAAGGCCTGTGTTGCACCCCACCCCCTGGTGGCCCCTGACTTCAGGCACCCAGCTAGGGCAGTCCTGGGGGGCACCGCAGCCATGGAGGGAACCACTAGGCCCCCGCACAACTCAGGCAAGCAGGTTCCAGGCGAGGGGAAAAAAATCAGGCTCACCACTTTTCTTGGGAGGAGCCTGTCTTGCAGGACCTCCTGCAGAGCTGCACGGAGCCCAGCACTTCGCTCCTCAGCTGTAGGGGCAGCAAACTAAAACTCAGAGGAGGAGTTTTAGTTTGCTGCGCCCCAAGTCATTTAAGGCACGTTATGCTGCCAAATTTCCTACAGTGGCTGGAATTAATACACACTACTCCGCCGATGCGTACAAACACCGACAAAAAGCAGTGCAAAAGCATTTAGCTTGCTTTAAAGTGTGCACACATGCCCATTTTTTCATCTACCCACGGCCTAAGTGCATCCACATGTTGCCTTTTGTTGCTGTAGCAACGCGCTATGGCAATGTAGCAATCATGTGAGCCTCCACATGATCAGCAGCTACTTTGTCATAGCAGCGCACTCCCACATTTTAGCACGCTGTTACAGGGCTGTAGTGGTGAAAAATAACCGCACAGTGTACAGCACAGTACAGGCATCATTCTTTAGTACTTCCAAAAGCAAGTACTAAAGCATGGCACAGTAACAACAACATAGGTGACATGTAGACGCACCCCCTCAGGAACTAACTGGTTCAGAGACATGAGCTTTTGTAGACAGCAACCTGTTTCTCTGACAAAGCAGGTCGTTGCCTAGCAAACCTCATACCTCTCTGTTAGCCTCCAAGGTAGATAGACCTTGCCCTGCCTTTTGCCTGACTTCAGATTAACACAGCTAACTGCCTCTCCATTTACAGGAAAGAAATGGATTCATCCCGTTTCATGCTATATGAAGAAGTAAGTGCTATAAAAAAGCCAAAGGAGGATCTGACATCAGGCCAATTATATAGGAAAGTCAAGACAAGTGAAAGACAAACAAGAAAGAAAGGAAATACCTCTGAAACAAAAAGAGGGATTAATATAGAAAAGGCTGGATATACCTAGATGTTAAAAGGATGAACACTATTCCAATCAGAAGTAATTTGTTCAATACATGAAAGGGCTCATTTGGAAGCAGATGAGACAACCATTCAGATTAAGTTAATTGGCAGATGGCCACATTTAAAAAAAGTCATGGAAATGCTAGCACAGAATTGTATGCCTTGTACTAGTGAGCGGAGATTCAGCTCCTTGGGCAAGTCTCATGAACACATGCTCCTATATATGGTCCGTGGACAAGGCTGCAAATAGATTTTATAGGACCACTGCCAGAAACAGTGATGTTTAATACATTCTGCTTAGTGATTATAGATTGTTTACCAAGCAGCTAGAAGTGCTTCACTGAAGGGAAAACACAGCTAGGGAACTTGCTAAGGCACTGGTCGACAAGATTTTTCAAGATAGTGGAGGTTCTTGAAGAAAAAGAGTCAGACTACTATATCCCACATTTTATTAATGAAGCATTAAAAATAACTTTAAAGGAAACTCGATTTCAGCAGAAACTCCATATAGACCAGGGGACAGCAACGTTTTTGAACAGAGTGCCAAAAACACCCACAACCTCGACTTGTAAGATGTTGGCATGCCTGGGGAGGATCGTGGGGGA